TAGATTTTTACATTACAGAAATTCCTCAGACCGGAGGGTAAGAGTAGAAGAGCTACCCAGGAGCAAGCAAAAGCAGCAGGGTAAAAATCGGGGCTCGTGTGCAGGAGGGACGGGAATGTCCATCTGGGACGCGTTCCTGCTCCCACTGCGCCCCGCCCCGTCAGAGCCGCAGGGGGACAGCAGAGGGACCATCCCAAAAGCTGCACTGCTGGCCACACACTGGGCAGGCAGCCCTGACCTTGGGCACCAGTGCCAGCAGGCAGGCGGAAAGCTCCCTGGCAGCGTCCAGGCCAGATCGGAGAATCGCCTCTACACATTTTTCCTTGGTGACTCACAGCTTTGAGAAAGGATATTTTTATAGAAAGTGATCTTTAAGTTGTACTTTTAAAGACCCAAACCCTTTTCCTAGAATGCTGTCCAAACAAATTAATAGTGCCCAGGTCCAGTGAGTTCTGTGGCCTGGTCCTAACAGGTTTTCAGCGATGTGATACTATGTAGCTGGAGCCCAAGACTTTTGAAGGTGTGGGGACATTTTTAGATGGCCCTGATTCCTGACAGCCGGCTGATGGTGACTTTCCTGGAATTCTTTTGGTAGGCAGAAAGAAACTTTTTGGTTAACATTATGGCAAAGTAACAGCGGTTTTAAATGGGGCGAGAAGGCTCTTTTAGAGAGCCAGATCTTAAATACATTTAAAATATGACTCAGAAAGGATGCAGCTGAAAAATGTTCACTAAAAACAAGTAAAAGTAAGAGCAGCTGCTAGGAGTGATTTCCCAAGACCGAGCCCTGGCCAGGAGATCCTCTGAGGAGGGCAGAGGCTCTGAGCGTGCTTTTTGAATGCAGCTTCGGACTTCTTTCGGGTTCCAATTTCCTGACAGAGGACCAGCAGAGAAAGCTCAGGTCTTGAGCAAGGAGGCTTTGAGCACATTCCGCAGCCTGGCCCGGGAGGACAGGAACCTTGGTGCCGCTGATGAGCACGGTCACTGTGAAGTGAAGCGGTCCCTTGGCTTCTGAACATCCTGAGTCAGTTTTGACATCAGCCTGGCTTGGGAACTGACTGGAAGGTTTGGTGCTGGGCCGTGGCCACACAGAGGCATGCGTGAGCAGTTCTTCACTTCGGGCCTCGGCCCTTCATGTGCGCAGCAGATAGAGTCGGGGAGGAGGACCGAGGAGACCACTTTGGACAGCCCAGCGTCCCATCATGTCTTTCAAAAAGCAGTGTGAGGCCTCATCCGATCGCCTGCATGAACATGGAAGCATCTGCTGCCTGTCTGGGGACAGTCCCCCTCAGCCAGACCCCAGCCCGTTCCCCTCTGGGCAGGCATGCGCGTTCTGCTTCCCCCAGGTGTTTTCCAGGCCACTTCTCCGATTATGTAACTGTGATCAACTCCAGATGCTGCGTGATGCTCAATAGAGGAGGTCAAATGGCACCAGAAAGAAAAGCAGCTCTGTATTCATGACAGGGGTTTAATTTCCTGTGTGCTGCTGGCCCCGAGGTTGAGGCACAGGAGAACAGGCACAAACACTTTCAGGATAGCGTTAGGGGCCCCACCCTTCCCCAGGACTCTCACTCAGTGGCCAGTTACGTAAGGGTCCTTGGCCTCTGCTTATCTTCCTCGTTTTGCAATTGTGTTCTGATCACAATAAAGAATGTACGCCCATGGTAAGAAATAAACCCATAATATAGAAAAATGGAAAGAAAATTTGAAAATCTGAAACACTTGCTTTCCCACCAAACTGAGTTAAGTACTGTTTGACATTTTTGTGTGTTTCTTTCGATGTTTGTTTGGTTTGGTTTGGTTTTTTTTTTTTTTTTTTTTTTTTTTTTTTGTCTTTTTCGTTTTTATCAGTACCAGGGATTGAACTCACGACTGCCTGCTTGTAAGGCAGGTGCTTATGCCGCTGAGCTAAATCCCCAGCCCCTTGGTTTGGTTTTTGTTTTTAAACATGCTCTATATGCTGGGATGTATGTCAACACTTAATATATTATTATGAGTATATTCCCAGTCCATTAAATATTTCCCCCCAAAATATTGTAGTTTTAACAATTTATTTTTATATGGTGCTGGGGCTCAAACCCAGGGCCTTACACTTCCTGGATACTGCTCTACTACCGAGCCACACACCACCCCAGCCTTCTCTAAACTGTAATACTTTGTGTTTTGTTTGAGACAGGATCTTGCTGTGTAGTTTAGGCCGGCCTGCACTTGACTTACTGTGTACCCCAGGCCATCCGTCTACAGGGCCCTACTGATCCTCCTGCCTCAGCCTTATGAGTGCTGAGATTAAAGGTGTGCACCTCCGTGCCCAGCCCCAAAATATTTTCAATGTCTTCTGGAATATGTTCTGTTTCGTTGATGGAGCATGAATTACTGTATCTTATATTGATAATTGGTACTTTGTATTCTCTGCTTTTATTTAAAGTCATTGTGTGCAAATCATTATGCAGTTTTAACTTGCTGTACATTGCTTCCTCACAGTTTTTGTCGGTAAAGGGCTTCACGTTGGTGTGAAAGAGTCTTAAGTTTAAGAATCTTTTGGTACATGCCTAGAATCTTATCACTTCAGGAGACTATGGCAGGAAGACCACAAGTTCAAGCTGGGGATACAGTACAGCTCCGTGCAAAGGCCCTGGGTTCTATCCCCAGGGCTGCAAAAGAAAGAAAATTAAGAGGGGTAGAGGGGTCCTTCAGGAAGACCCTGCCAAGGCAGGCCTTTCCGATGAAGGCCTCATCCTCTGTGCATAAAGATCACAGCTTCCTGAATGGATTAGGTGTCAGGCAGCTGTAAACACCCCTGGAGTGGCTGTGGAAATCTAGAAGATTGTGTGTGGCCCTGCCTGGTCTCTCCCTGTAGGCCAGAAAGCTGGAAGCCAGGAGATGGCTCTGGGTGGGACTCACGGGAACTGTATGCAGCCTCAGCTGCATCCACGCTGCAAGGGACGGGCCTGGCCCTGCAGTCGGACTGCAGACCCAGGGAGTGGGCCGTGTGAGGACCCAGCATTTAACCAAAAAGTCCCATTCTCCCCACAACACGGCATCCCACCAACACATGTAAGTTCTAGGTTTTTGTGTATCAGTTAAAAAATAACTTACTAGGTATAAGTTAATTTTATCAGTTTAAAAATAAGTATTTTTTAACAACGAAAACACAGAACCAACAAAGCCCCTGCTTTAACCAGCTCTTCTGGGGTAGCTGGTCGGTGCCCAGCTGTCCTCAGTGGTGCTAGGAGGCCCTGAGAGCCAGGGCAGACACCTGGGGTGGCAGTGTGGCAGCTGTCTGCTTCAAAATTAATTACCTCTGCCTTCACAGATCACACAGTGAAAGCACCAAGCATGGTCATAGCCTATGTTAGGGCTGCGCCTCTAGAAAACTAATTCTGAAAGATGTGCTTCCATTAGCAGAACAAACCTGCATCATTGTTTATATTCTGGTGACTTCTTCCTCGGAGCTCTCTTCAAGCAGCTCCAGAGCAGCTGGAGTTGTCCAGCCTTGCTTCTGAGATTTGGCCTGGCCTCTCAGGTGTCTCAGGATCCTTCCCTAGGACGGATCTGATGGTGAAGAGATGTCTGTGGTTCCTCTCTGTCCACACAGAGGGAAGGTTAGATGTAGCTCTGTTTCCATTTGTAGATCCTTTCATTTGTAGATCTTCTGTCTTTTCAAATCAGAATTTCCCCTCAAATTAAGAAAAAAAAAAGTAGGGGCCAGGGCTATAGCCCAGTGGCACAAGTGCCTGTAACAGAGGTTTTCAGTTCCATCCTTGGTACAAAAAAAAAACCATTTTCATATTGTAGTACCCTTAAGTGGTATTTGAGTGCCACTACACAATATCCACTACTACGAGGGCTGCTTGGAATAGGTTCAGTGGGTCTTGTCATTATCTCAAAGAAATTCTAGAAGCCTTGAGGATTGCTCAAGGGGAAAAAAAAAAAGACAAGAAGGTAACTTCAGGGAAAAATAGTCAACTATTTGACCCTGTGGTGAAAAACACTCATATATTCCTAACATTAGAGCCCAGGATTCAATTCCACCCTCTAGAGTCTACTCACAGGCAAAATGTGCAGGGCTGCGTTCCTGGGAGAGAGGACGTGGTGGTGAGTCTTCACTAGGGAAACCGATTGAGAGCGGGGAGGGCTGGCCTGAAGAGAGGACACCGCTGTGCCTCTGGACTGGGCGTGGCCAGAGGTGCTGTCACCAGGAAGCAGCAGAGGTGTAAGTGTGAGCCAGTATCTGGCAGTGGACAGTGGTGCCCAGGAGGCCACCATGACCCAGCTGCCGTCCAAGGCAGAGGCAATCACCAGAAACAGCTGGCAGCCCGGGCTGGGGAGATGCCTTTTCTTTTCAGCTCTTCTGTACTACTTGACTTTTTTTAAAGTATGTGAATATATTAACTTGGATCCATTTTAAAACATTTTAAAGCAAGAAACTGAACACTCTGTCTTTTTTTTTTTTTTTTTTTTTTTTTTTGTCTTTTTCCTTTTTATCGGTACCAGGGACCGAACTCACAACTGCCTGTCTGCAAGGCAGGTGCTTATGCCGCTGAGCTAGATCCTCAGCCCTTAACACTCTGTCTTTTAAGCAATGGCAAATTCATAGGAATATGAACTGTGACCAGCTTGTGTTGGATTAATGAGACTGACCTTGAGCTCACATTGTAGCCCAGGCTGGTCTCAAACTTGCAACGATCCTCCTGCCTCAGCCTCCTAACTGCTGGGATTACAGCAGAGTCACCACGCTTGGCTGAATTAATGAGTTTTAAAAGCTAAAACTATTTGGGAACAGTAAGTACCTCTCTGGAATAAAGATAATTAGCATGTTTCATAAGAGTTGATAAAGAGTCTGTTAAAAAAAAACTCAGATCCAGATGTTAAGAAATGAAGTAAGTTCGGAATGTGTAATGTTGGGAACAGATCTTTTTTTGTTCCGAAATAAAGCTTTTGTGTGCTCTGTTCCTCCTCTTCTTCCTGTTACATTTCTTTTTCCCCTCCTTGTCTTCCAGAAGCCCTGCAGAGGCCGGTAGCATCCGACTTCGAGCCCCAAGGTCTCAGTGAAGCTGCCCGTTGGAACTCCAAGGAGAACCTCCTCGCAGGGCCCAGTGAGAATGACCCTAACCTTTTCGTTGCACTATACGACTTCGTGGCCAGTGGGGACAATACTCTCAGCATCACTAAAGGTGAGGGGGTTGTGGGCAGCTGAGGGGCCATGAGATGCAGACCTCAGGGAGCTGTGCCTTGACTGGCTTCCCAGTTTCTTGGGTGGGGGGAGGGGTTGACACTGAGTCTTGCTATGCAGTCCAGGCCGGCCTCGAACTCAGGGCGATGTTCCTGCCTCAGCCTCCTGAGTGCAGGGGTGACAGGTACGAACCACCACGCCCAGCCCAGCTTACCAGTTTCCAGTGTGGAGTGATCAATCCAAAAGATGGCAACCCCTTTCCTAGGGAGTCATGTCTCCTAAAGGAGGCTCCACTGCAGAAGCTCCTCATCCTGCACCCCTGTAGTCAGACATCCAGACTAAATACTGAAAACATGACTTGTTTTTGCCCTTAGGAAAATCATCTTCTTCTGAAAGCCTTCCTTAAGTAAAAGCAGAGGGCTTGGGAAAACAAATGCTAGGGTTATAAAAACGGAGGCCGTCTACTTATCTGTACATTCAGTCTAAACAGGAAGCTTGGTGTGTAAGTGCACATTCTTTCAGGCTTATAAATACGCCTATTTATGTGGACTTGTAAAAAAGAAAAGAAAAGAGCCCCAGTGTGCAGAATCATGGGTGTTGTAGTGATCCCGCGGTAGAGGAGAGGGAAGGAACTCTGCCTGCCAGGCAGCAACATCTGATTGGGTGCTTTGCCTCCCAGGTGAGAAGCTCCGGGTCCTGGGTTACAATCACAACGGAGAGTGGTGTGAAGCCCAGACCAAGAACGGCCAGGGATGGGTCCCGAGCAACTACATCACGCCCGTCAACAGCCTGGAGAAGCATTCCTGGTACCACGGGCCTGTTTCCCGCAACGCAGCCGAGTACCTGCTGAGCAGCGGGATTAACGGCAGCTTCCTGGTGCGGGAGAGTGAGAGCAGCCCCGGCCAGCGCTCCATCTCTCTGCGCTACGAGGGCCGCGTGTACCACTACCGCATCAACACTGCCTCCGACGGCAAGGTGCGCCTGCACGGGCAGGAGGGAGGGTGGCCCTGGGCCCGGGGTTCCCAGGTACTTGGCGAAGCTCCTCCTGGTTTTCAAGGGAACCACAGGCATGAGTTCCTTAGCCTTAGGAAGACCTTTTGATGACCTGAGAGTCCACAGTAGCTCCCTGCTGTCCCACCTGGAGAGCCACCCGGTGCTGTCTTCAGGCAGTGGGGCCATCTGTTGGGTCTCTTGGGCCTCAGTGAGAAAAAATTAAGGTTAATAGCAGCTCCTAGCTAAAGTCCAGCCCATGGTCGCCTTTGTGTGGATGAAATAACACTTTATGGAGTGTGTGTGTTTGTGTGTTGGTACCAGGGATCAAACTCATGGCCTCACACTTGCCAGGCAGGCACTTGTGCCACTGAGACTTGTGCCACTGAGCTAAATCCCCAGCCCCACATGCATAGTTTTTAAACAAAAGTGGGATCACATTACACCGTGATTATTCCCAAACCCAAATGGTGTTGCAGAGCAGTCTGCCTAAGGGGTTTTGTGGTCTCTGATAGGGTTTTCGGAACCCTATCAGTCTCTTTGTAAGCATCCCGGAGGGGTCTCAGAGGAGAGGGAGGAGCTAATGTTTACTAACCTCTGGTTGCACCCAGGGAGCCCCAAGCCCTCTGTTTTCAGACCACACCCTGGGCCCTAGGGAGCTTTGGTGTCCTCATTTTTGCATTAAAAAAAAAAAAAATGAGGCTTGGCATGGTGAAGTTTCTTGCCTGAGATCACCAAGGGAGTAATAGAGAGGACCAGTTTGGGACACCACTGTCCACTCAACTGTTCTGGGGCTGTGCTGAGGGGCAGTGCAGATAGGCAGTGGCCCGGAGGCTCAGGGTCAGCATCTCACTACCCAATTCTGGCTGGCCTTGAGTTCACTGTGTAGCCCAGGCTGGTCTCGAGCCTCCAAATGGTCCTCCTGCCTCAGCCTCCCGAGTGCTGGGATGACAGATGTGCGCCTCCATGCCCGGCACACTTGCATTTTAAAATAGTGCGTGATGGGTACTTGTGGTCTTAAAAAACCAACAGGGCAAAATGAGCTATGATAAGGACCAGTTCCGATCCTGACTGAGGTCTCCTGCCCAGTGGCAGCCGCCGTCACGATTTTCCTGGTGGGTTTCCTGATCGGTTTTACCTGGGATGTCTCCGTTACATCCACATGTACCCTGTTGCCGTCCTGCAGCCGGTCAGGATCCACTGCATTCATTTCATAGGTAAAAGTGGCCACCCTGGGACACACGCAAGAGGAGCTGCTAGCACAGATTGTATGGCATTCACGTGCGTGTGCACACGCCCATTGCCAACCTCCTCTTCCTCAGGAGCTGTACACGTGTGATGTCTCAGAGACAGCACACTGCAGCCACAGCTTCCCCTTGCCCCAGTCAGGAGCGTCATCAGACCTGTCGGGACATGTTTGTCCCTGATGGGTAAAGAAGCTTCTGCCTGTCTGTCTCATGTATCACCCTTAAGCCTCTTATTAAGTTCAGCTTTTTCTATGAGTGGAAACATCCCACATTCATGCAGCCCTTGGGCCCAGTGATCCTGTGTTCTTTCCAGCGGTCTGATTACCCCCATGCCCATGCCAGCTCTGTCCTGTGCCCCAGGATCTGCTGGCCTACTCTTCTGCTTAGCTTTTCAGCATTTTCCTGACGGCCTTGCACGTTTGCTTGTGTCCTGTGAACACACATGTGCTTCCATTGTCCACATTGCCCGCTCTGCTCGTGTGTCTGGTTAAAGTCCCCTGGCCCCTCTGGGCTCTGCATCCTTGAAGGTGTCTGCACTGCCAGCACTGTGATTGGGCACAGAGACAGCGCCTGTTCAAGAGCAATGCGAGATGGCTTCGGTGGCTGCAGCTGGGGTCACAACACCAGGTTGGCAGCCCTCTGCAAGAGGCTTCAGGCTGCAGGGCGCCTTTTCAGTGACATGGACGCAAGGGTGCATCGTGCTTGGGAGGTGATTTTTCTGGAGCCAGCAGCCTCCTTCCTATCCGTGCTCTTTATCCCAAGCAAGTCAGGCTGCACCAAGATGACGGCTGGAGGCTGGCACTGAGCAAGACAATGGCTTCTTTTACCCGTCAGCCTTAGAACAGGGGCAGGCAGGCATGCTCTTGTCTTGACAGCTCATTCGCTGGGGTTGGTCTAAAATGCTGTGCAGAGGGAGAAGGAAAAGGCTGCATGTGGGACGCATGCATGATTTGTAGAACTTGAGATTTATCTAAAGAAGCAGCAGGTGGGGTATGGTGGCATAGTGATCCCAGTACTATGGGAGGCTGAGGCAGGAGGATCACCAGTTGGAACCCAGCCCAGGCAATTCAGCACGTGAGACCCTGTCTCATAAAAATGAAAAGGGCTGGGGAGGAGCTCAACACAAAGGCCGTGGAGTCAGTTCCCCTTGCCATCCAGGGAAGGAAGGAAGGGAGGGAGGCAGCGGAAGAAGGAAGGCAGAGCCAATTGCTCTGTCTAAAGGGGTCCTGCCGTGCACGGCTCGGCTCATTGACCAGCAGCACCCCGTCAGGCTTCCCCAGGCGTCTGGCCCGCCTGCCCCTCCCCGGCGGAGATGCCCGTCAGCTCTCTGGGCCTCTGGAGACTCTGGGCCCTCTTTGGGGTCCCCGGTCTGTGAAGGCCATGCCTCGTGGGCTGTGTCAGGTGGGGTTGTAGCCCCGGATGAGGGACAGCGTTAGTGCTGGGCGGTCCCACAGCCCTGCACAGGTCTGCAGGGCTCAGCCCCGAAGAATGCGTCTCACATAGCAGAGTTTTGATGCAATCCTTTTTGGATTTCTAAGGGGAAAATCTAAGGTTGCTGGAGGGACAGGCTGGGTTTGACTAAGCTAGCTTCTTACTTACAAATCAGCTTATCTTTAGAAAACACGTATGGAAGATTCTTGCACAGGGCCCCTGAGGATTCCACTCTGCCTCCACTCTCCTGGCTCTCGCTCACCTCTCTCATGTCCGAGCTTTCCAGTGGAGGTCATGACCAGTTAGCCCAGGACCACAGACTAGGACCCAAGCTGGGGACACTAGGCCTTTGAGCTGGACTCTTGAAAGGGCTGAGGCACACTGAGCCTTCGCCACTTGCTAGCTGTCTGGTGCATAGCAGAGAAATCTCCCCACACCTGCGACGTGGCTGTCTTTCTTCCTGTGCTCTCCCTGAAATCACAGAATTGAGGCTGATACTCTCCACCGCCCCGCCGGACTGCTTAACTCTGCTTACTTGTGTCCACAACTTGCCCCTTTCTGTGGGTTGCCACTGCCAAGCCCACAGTCCCTGAGTGCCCTTGTGGATCGGTCGGTCAACTGTCCTGATGGAGGACAGAATGCCTAGTGGATGCAGCCTAGAGGAGGTGGGGTTTGATCCGGCTCGCAGTTCGCAGTTCGGAGGCTGCAGTCCTTGGTTGGCTGGCTCCATGAAAACATCATGGCAGAAGGTGTGGCGTAGCAGATCCCCTCGGGTCCTGGCTGCTGGGAGGCAGACCTCTGCTGCGTGCCCATGAGGGATGCCCTCAAAGATGCCCGCAGCAACCCCCTCCTCCACGTGGCAGCACTTTGAGCCTGAACTGCACTAATCCACAAAGGGGCTCGGCACCCCCATGACCCAGTGCCCTGTTGGGGTCTCATCATCCATCAAGTTGACAGTCAGGGTTCCCCGGCAGCCCTCCAGTCTTCCCTTGTCTCACAAGTGCCCAGGGACGTTTGCTTTCTCGTCTGTGGAAGTGGGAGGTGCAGGCTGCCGGGCAGTGTCTGGGTGTAGGCTCTGGCCCCATTGCTGGGAAGGGCTGACTGGGTGGGTGGAGCCTCTCCAATTTCTGAGGTTCGCCCACCTTAGACTGGCCCAAAATGCCTGCCTGCTAACTGGCTGGTCCATACAGAGGCACCTAGGGTACAGTGTGTCCCCCACTGGTCTCTGAGCAGCTCAGGGGCCCTCATGTCCCCACCAGCCCCCCATAAGCAGCGTGTCAGAGGCAGCGCTCTAGACTGGCAGCAGCCAGAGGGTGCACAAGTGTGAGCTGGCTGGGCCCATGCATGTGGCTGTTGGGACGAAAGCCAGCCCTGGGGTTCAGAGAAGCAGCAGCCCTGGCCAGGAACCCTGTCTTACAGAACTGGGTGCACAGCACAGCGAGGTCCCCCCGCTGACTCCACTGCCCTGGGTGAGTGGACTCCTCACCACTATCCGGTTCACAGTAAGAGCAGATCACCAAGCAGATGGTGGGAGGGCCGGGGGGACATGGCTGAAGAGAGGGAGTGTGGGCTTCTCGGGTCTCACTGTGGAGCTCAGGCGGGCCTCCAAGTACAGCGAGCCTCTGGCCTCACTGTATCTCAGCCTCCTGAGCGTCAGGATTACAGGTATGTGCCACCATGGCCAGCAGAAATGTTTTCATAGACTTTTTTATTAGTACGCATTCGAGATACATAAGGAATACCTTCATCGTAGGCAGTTGGGATGGACGCGTATGCTTAAAATCTCAGCCCTCTTTCCTTCCTGTCTGCAAAAGGTCTGCCTCCCTGTTTTGCATCACCTGTCTTTTATTCTGCTCTGTAATGTATTTATGCTTTTGAGTTTCTCATATAAGAAAAACAACCTGATATTTAATCTTCTGGATCAGATTTCTTTCAGTTGACATTATGATCTCAAGATTAATCATTTCCCTACAAATGGCTCAAGCTTATTCTTTAGGGCTGAGTAGTGCTCCATGGTGTACATAGAACACAATTTCCTTATCCATTCATCTATTGATGGAGCCGTAGATTGTCTCCAAGGCCCAGCTATTTTGAGTTGCGATGCTGTAAACATGGGTATGTTGTAATATAATTATCTTTAACTACTGGGAAGACACCCAGAAGAAGGTCCGACGGGTTGGAGGAATTTCTAGTTTTAGCTTTTTGAGGACTTTCTGCACTGATTTCCATAGTGGTTGTACCAGTTCCCGTCCCACCAACCATACAGAAGCGTCCTTTTCCTCACACCCTTGCTAGCTTTGTTGTTTT